TTCCAACTAATCCAGTAAAATACGGCGAAGGCAAACATCAAATCTCATCGCCCTCCAACTGGGCCTCGCCATTCTCGTCAACGTGGGGGGCGTGTTATTTAATTTAAGTGGCGTCGTTCCAGAAACCGGGTTCGAACCAGCTAATTGAACTAAGCTCGAGTCAAAAAGTGCTAACGTGGGGACACCAAAGGGAAGTCTCCATAAAGAGAGAGAACTGAGAAGATACAACCCCAAAATTGAATTTTCTTAGCTGAACTTCCTTCGGTGCCCTCACGCGAACGACGAAATCACCGGATGTGCCCTTCAACAGAAGAAGATCCCGAGGGCAAATCAGGAAAAAAGTCAGTAAAATTCACCGTCCTCTCCTTCCTTTGCACCCAAGTCGCCGTGGCTTTCAATCGCCATAAGAATCCACACGAACCTGCGAGACCGGAATCGAGGTTCGAATCCGAGCAAAGCGGACAAAGATCGCGATCGATCTCTCTCTATCTCGCTGCGCGATCGCGCCATTTGATCGCGTCTGCGCATGCGAAACGTGCGGCGATTGGATTTTTCCCGTGGCGCGGTTTTCGGTTTTTTCTCGATGACGCTGTTCGATCCGATTCTCTCGTAGAATGTAGAGCGGAACGGGTCGTGGTTGGGAGTGATGGTTGTTCTGACAATGCTTGATTGCAGCGAGTGGAGTGGGGCAAGAGGTAATTGCAATTCGCGTTCATGGCATCAGTTACTGCTGCCCTGATCCTCCGACTCAATCCGGATTTGGGAGTTTTGATAGTGAGAATAGACAGGCCCTGGTATTGAGTGGGTTGGTTTTGAGCTTGGACAGTGAGATTTGAATTGTGAATTTTGGCTGATTAGGCATTTCAGGGTTGGGGGGGGAATAGTTGACTGTGTTGTGGAGCTGTGGTGCCTGATTGAATGGGACAGACTATAGCTGAGTGATCCCTCATGTAACATCCTGAATTTTGACCTGTTATCGGGATCAATAAAGTGTATATTAATTCTCGTTTGATTTTAGTAAGTCTCGCCCGGACTTGATCAATCACGGGATACTAACCAAATGGGAAAGGCTAAATAGGATCAGGTACGTGGACCAAGGACCCGATCGCGATTGAGTGCCGAGTTCGAGAAACATCGAGGGAATATTTTGGACCAATATGGGCCGATCTTAGGAAAATGACGGATTGATATAGTCAGATACGTACGATCGGATCGCGGGTGATTCCGCACGACCGAAAGTACGCCTGACTAACGAACCCCGATTTTAATCCAAACGATCGCGACCCCCGGTACTAGTGATAATTCCTCTCGTTCTCTCGAAATTCGAGACCATCATGACTCAGACAATCCTAGGTCGATACGCGTACCACCTAAACAGCCGACCGTTAGTAAGAGGCCCTAAGACTTCGAAACGAGTTATTTTGATCGCAATATTGAGCCCAAACTTCGATATCAAAATTTCAAGGGTAATTACGACTATTTGGTAAGACGGACGTCATTTTATAGTGGCCAAATAAGTTTGGGACAAGAACAGCTGAATATAGAAATTTCCACAGAAATTGGGGAAAATTACAATTTTGCCCCTGGGGACCTCGATGCTCGTTTCCGAGGCCAAACGAAATTATTTTTCGGAATCGATGCCATTTTGGGGCAACCATGCACGTCTGGAGTGCATACGGTCAAAAATTGGAATTTCGACCCCGGAACGAAAAATTACGGTTTTACCCCTCGAGACTTTTGGACCGGTTTTCGAGGGCTTAAAGGATGAATTTTAAGGATCCGACACCGGATTATGTCTACCATGAATATATAGGACCGGTATGGACAAAAATTGAAATTTCGGTTCGGGATCGAAAAAATTACGAAAATGCCCCTAGGCCAATTTTAATTAATTCCGAAAATTGAATTTAATTAGGGGTTTAACCAAGGTTAAATGGGACTAACCAGGTCTGGTCAGCCTTGGGTTAGTGACAAATGACCATTTTACCCCTAAATTATTGGATGAGAAGGAAAGATAGCCATTGGATCAAGGGCAAAATTGTCCAATTGGCCTAGATTGAGACACATGGAATCCACTCACACTTGTTGACCCATATTTGACCAGACATTTCTCTCTCTCTCTCCCATTCTGTTCTGATCTGCCGAGCCATTCTCCTCCTCCCCTTCCCCGTGAATTTCTTTTCCCGTTTCTGTTTCTGGCGTGCACGGTTCTGTCCATTCTGGTACTGTTCACGCCGGAACAGTACCAGCCGGAGCTGTCCCCGCCAAGCCAGCACCACCAGCAGCCCTTTCTGCTCAAGACAAGCCACCACAGCCCCGGTTTCAGCCTAAACAGAACAGAAACAGCAGCTAATTGTCTTCGCCGGTGTCGCTGCGGACCGCCGGCTTGCACCGGAGCGCCGCCGTCGATCCTTACCGTTCGTCGGTGATCGACCGCCCGTTCCCGTCGTCCCGAATCGTTAATAGGCGAGTATAAACCCCTAAACCCCTAATTAGTCTAATTGTGCATTTTTAGGGGTTAATTAGGCCTAATTGAGGGTTAATTAGGCTTAATGGTGTGTGGGATGTTTTGTATGGGTCATTAGGACCTAATGAGATGATTTAATGGTGGTTTAATGGCCTAAATTGTGATCTGGTCTGGTACTGTTCATGAGTACCGAAAATGCTAAATTTTGTTCAAGTTTTGTACTAATTGAGTTCAATGGTTAATGACTTAAAATTAGGCATTTGGTAGACTAATTAAGCTTATTTGAGGCTTAATTATGTGTATTTGGTGGTTGGATGTTTAGGGTAGGTGATTAGGGCTTAATGAGATGGTTTAAAGGTGAATTAGTGCCTAAATGTGCATTTTTCCTGGTACTGTTCATGGGGCTCCGAAATTGTTTTAATTTGTCTAAGTTTGTACTAATTGGGTTCAATTGTTGGTGACCTTGAATTGGTCATTATAGGGCTTAATTAAGCTTAATTGAGGCTTGATTATGTGTATTTGATGTTTGGGTGATTATAGTATTTGATTGAGGCCTAATGGAATTGTTTAGGGGTAGTTTGGTGCAAAATGGACATTCGGTTCTGGTACTGTTCACCAGAACCGAATTGTACCATTGGGCTTAATTGGAGACTTAATTGGTTCTTTGGCTATTGACTTGAGTTTAGGCATTTTTAGGGGTTGAGTAGGACTTGTATGAATCCTATCGTATGACCCCGAAGTGGTGAAAACGAATATTGAGATTGAATTGCCCAAGGCGGGCCTTAGGCGCATTAGATTGAGGTGTGAAATGAATGCGCGGAATGAACTTGAAATGGATTGGATTAGAGTGGAAATGCTTGGGTATGCCAAGAATGAGATGAACATGTCTAATTTGAGCATGGTTATGCTTGGTGTTTTGGCATCGATATTTAACCTTAAATTCCCGAGCATATGTTTTGCATATCAAGTGGTGATTGGTTGAAATTGAGTGAAACGATGTACTTGCCTGAGTTATAATCAATTGTGGCCTTCGGGTCGGGCCTACGGGTCGTTTTATCAACTGTGGCCTTCGGGTCGGGCCTACGGGTCGTTATAATCAATTGTGGCCTTCGGGTCGGGCCTACGGGTCGATTTATCAACTGTTGGCCTTCGGGTCGGGCCTACGGGTCGTTTTATCAACTGTGGCCTTCGGGTCGGGCCTACGGGTCGTTATATCCAACTGTGGGCCTTCGGGTCGGTATAATTGCACTTGACTTATAGTGATGCCAAATGCCTAACCTGCAGGGCTATGAGACATTATATTGGGCTGTGAGCTCGGGTGAATTAATGTTGTATTACTGGTTCATATTTTGATGCGTTTTATTTACCTTCTGGAGGTGCACATTAGCCTAGTTTAGGATTAGTGGTTTGTACTTGCTGAGTTTTCTCACGGTTGTGGTAAAACCGACATTTTCAGACCCCCGTCCATAGAATGCCGAGGAGCAGGACCCCGAGCCCGAGATAGAGTTTGAGGCTATGAGTTCAGAGGAGGAACCAGAGCAGTCCGAGAATTCTTCCGAGACGTGCGGGTCGACCCCAACCGGATATCCTAGGGCGGACCTCGGTTTTAGGGGCGAGGGCCGATACTTTTGACCGTAGCCTCTAGTGGTTAATCGATCCCCCTAGGCCACCGATCCCTTTTTGTACTCGTAGCCCTTTTGTTGTAGCTCTGGTTTTAATGGATATTGTATATATAAGTGTTATAATGAATGTATATGTTGTTTTTAATCGTTTGAATTTTGTTGGCTTGTGCTACTCATGGTTGCTTTTAAATTGTCTGGGTGTATATATATAATATATATACGTCGTTTCCGCATGTGGCGTGTTTTCTCTGATTTGGGTTTTCGGGTCGGTGACGTAACCTGGGAGCGTCGCACCTTATTTCGACCTATACGCGGATGTTCATGCTTCGTGGGGTACGGGGCGTGACATCCCCGTCCGAATTGGTATCAGAGCAAGGATAGCTCGGTCCAATCTAGTTGAACCCTGGAGTGATAAGGAGGAGTGACCATGGGTAGCCATAAGGTGACCTAGTATGCTAAGTGTACCTCCAGATTACTTGTGTTTGAATGTTGTGGTGATTAATTGAACCAGTGTTATGCAGGTGCGGCAGGACCCGAGGTAAGTGTGTAAGTCCTTGGGTGAAATTCTGTGCCGTTGTGCTAGCCGCATGCTGAGTGTTTGATTGCTTTTGTATTGATACCTGTCTAGGACTTAGACCGATTAGTTGGTTTAGGTCTCTAATTCCTGGACGGAATTATATTAGGTAATTGAGCACTCAGATTTGGAAGGATGAGCAGCGAAGGAAGAAGTGTGGGAAGAGTCCCCAGGAGGGGCACAGGAAGAGGAACTAGAGGTGGAGGTCGTGCTCGAGCTAGAGCTGTAGAAGACCTCGAGATGGGTGTTAGAGCGGTAGGAAACCCTGGAGTTAATGCTGGAGCTGCAGTAGACCCCAGAATGGAACAAGTCATTGAGACCCTAAGAGAAATAGGGAATGTCATGGGCAGACAGGCCCAAGAGAGAGCAGCAGTCATTGCTGAGGTTGCTTGGGCTGCGAGCAGCTGCCGCCATCAACGGGAATCAAACTCAAGCCCAGCAAGCTCAGGCTCAACCAATGGTAGCAGCTAGACCAATGCACCAGTTGGTGGAGCAGTTTCTTAAGCTGAAACCGCCCAAGTTCACGGGCAGAGGTGACCCAGAAATCACCCCACGTTGGGTGGAGGAATTGGAGAAAGCGTTTGACTTGTTGGGGTGTACTGAGGCCGAAAAGATTTCGTTGGTGACTTATCAGTTGCAAGACAATGCCAACGACTGGTGGAAGGCAGTTAGGGATAGAGTATTCCCAGAGGGTATGGAACAGACCTGGGCAATATTTGTTGAGCATTTCTATGGACAATATTTCTCAGAGAGTGCCCAGGAGAAGAAGATGGCGGAGTTCATGAGACTTCGTCAGGGGTCGATGACAGTAGTTCAGTACGAAGCAGAGTTCGCAAGACTATCGAGATTCGCCCCAAGGATGGTTGAGAATCCACTGGATAAGGCTCGAAGATTCCGGGATGGACTGAAGCCGGATCTTCGCACCCAGATGCTTCTGCTGAATATCAGGGATTATAGAGAACTGTATGAACGAGCCCAAACGATGGAGAGAGATCAGATGGAAAGGGCCGCAGCATCGGGTTCAAGGTTTAATCAGAATCGGGACAATCGTCGCTTCGGAAAGAAACCGATGACCGGCAATAGACGATTTGTTCCGCCACCGAGAAGGAATATAGGGAAACCCAGCCCGACACCGAATAGATTTGGGACTTGTTTTCGCTGCGGGAGCTTGGAGCATCGATTAAGAATTGTCCCAAAGAACGACCTTTGGGACCCCCAGACAACATCGGCAGCCCGAGTAGGAAATCGGCCTGAATCCCCACCGGCTATTCGGGTGACCACCCGCACAAGGACGAGTATACGCAATGGCGCGTAAGGATGCCGAGGACGCGCCGTGTGGTCACAGTACCATTTCTCTCGTGATCATGCTTGCCTATGCGTTATTTGATCCCGGGGCAACCCATTCGTTTATTTCAGAACAGTTTGCTAGATTGATTGGTCTTGAGTCCGTATTACTTGAAAACATGCTATGTGTGACGACCCCACTGCATGATAGGGTGTTAGTATCATTGGGATGCTTGGATTGTAAAATTGTGATTGGGAATGTAGAGGAAAGGATTGATTTGGCTGTGTTAGCCATGTATGATTTTGATGTGATCATCGGTATGGATTGGCTGACGAAGCAGAAAGCCGTTATGGATTGCGGCAATAGGATGATCCAATTTAATCCGATTGGACATCCTAGGTTTGAATTTCAGGGAAACCGAGGAGGAACCTCGATCCCTTGGATTTCCTCAGTAGAGGCAACTGAAATGCTCGAGGAAGGTTGTGAAGGATATTTGGTTAATGTTAAGGATCCGACATTGGTGGAACCTAAGTTGGAAGAAATCCCTGTAGTGTGCAATTTCCCCGAGGTTTTTCCTCAGGAATTGCCGGGCTTACCGCCAGAACGGGAAGTGGAATTTGTAATAGAATTGGCCCCAGGTACTGAGCCGATCTCTAAGGCCCCATATCGAATGTCCCTATCGGAATTGAAGGAACTGAAAGTCCAGATGCAGGAATTGTTAGATAAAGGGTTTATTCGTCCAAGTGCGTCTCCATGGGGAGCTCCAGTCCTGTTTGTGAGGAAAAAGGACGGAACGTTGAGATTATGTATAGACTATCGGCAGTTGAATCAAGTGACTATAAAGAATAAGTATCCACTGCCAAGGATCGACGACTTATTCGATCAATTGCAAGGAGCGTCAGTGTTCTCCAAGATTGACCTACGGACTGGGTATCATCAGTTGAGAATTCGGAAGGAAGATATACCCAAAACTGCATTTAGGACGAGGTACGGGCATTATGAGTTTACAGTCATGCCATTTGGTTTGACAAATGCCCCTGCAGCTTTCATGGATCTGATGAACAGAGTTTTTAAGGAATTCCTGGACCAGTTCGTCATTGTGTTCATCGACGATATTCTGGTATATTCGAAGAGTCCGGAAGAGCATGAAGTGCATTTGACGAAGTATTACGGACGTTGAGGAACACGCACTTTATGCGAAGTTCAAGCAAATGCGAGTTACGGCTTAGCAAGGTAGCATTCCTTGGACATGTTGTATCGGGAGAAGGAATATCTCGTGGATCCGGCTAAGATCGAGGCAGTACTTAAGTGGCCCAGACCGACATCAGTGACAGAAATCAGGAGTTTCTTAGGATTGGCTGGCTATTATCGACGTTTTGTGGAAGGATTCTCGTCGATAGCCATGCCACTAACACGATTGTTGAAAAAGGAAACTAAGTTTGAATGGGATGACAAGTGCGAACGAAGCTTTCAGGAACTTAAGCACAGACTGACAACAGCTCCAGTCTTAACTATTCCATCTGGACCTGGTGGATTTGAGGTCTACAGTGATGCTTCGCTCAGAGGACTCGGTTGTGTACTGATGCAGCACGGAAAAGTAGTTGCGTATGCGTCACGTCAATTGAGACCACACGAGTTGAACTATCCGACGCATGATCTAGAGTTGGCTGCCATTGTTTTTGCACTCAAAATCTGGAGACATTATTTATGCGGAGAAAAGTTCCAGATTTATACGGATCACCAGAGTCTCAAATACCTGTTCTCACAGAAAGAATTAAACATGAGACAGCGTAGGTGGATGGAACTTCTGAAAGATTATGATTGCGACATCATGTACCACCCTGGAAAGGCGAACCGAGTAGCGGATGCGCTAAGTCGCAAATCGAGTATGGCACACTTGATGATCAAGGAGTGGACATTGCTGGAAAGACTCCGAGACTCTGAGTTTAAATTTGAATTAAGCCATATGTCAAATCTGCTGGCTACTTTGAGAATCGAGCCAGAGATTCAGACCAAGATTAAGGCTTTGCAGTCCACGGATAAGGAAATTCAGAAAATCGTGGAAATGGATGCCGCTACAAGGAAGCCAGATTTCCAAGTGTCTGATGATGGAATTTTGAAATTCAAAGGACGATGGTGTGTACCTGATGATACTGAGCTTAAGGAAGAAATACTAAGAGAAGCTCATCGCAGCAATTACAGTATCCACCCTGGCAGCACGAAAATGTATCAAAATCTACGACAACATTATTGGTGGAACGGAATGAAGACGGATGTTGCCAGGTATGTGGCTAAGTGTTTGACCTGCCAGCAGGTAAAGGCGCAACATTGCAAACCTGGAGGACTGCTGCGACCGTTGGAAATTCCCGAGTGGAAATGGGAACACATCACCATGGACTTTGTAACCGGATTACCGAGAAGCCAGAGAGGGCATGATTCCATTTGGGTGATTGTGGATCGACTTACAAAGTCGGCACATTTCTTAGCAGTACGAAAGGATTTTGAGCTAGAAAGGTACGCAGAACTATACGTGAGACAGATCGTTAGACTGCATGGAGTGCCGGTAACAATTACATCAGATCGTGACCCGAGGTTTACGGCGAATTTTTGGAAAAGTCTGCAGACGGCCTTGGGAACAAAGGTGCAGTTTAGTACAGCTTACCATCCGCAGACTGACGGTCAATCGGAAAGGACGATACAGACCCTCGAAGATATGTTAAGGGCTTGTGTACTGGATTTCCAGGGTAAATGGGAAGAACAGCTGCATTTGGTGGAGTTTGCGTATAATAACAGCTATCGCAGTATCCGAGATGGCCCCATTTGAAGCCTTATATGGCGAGCATGTAGGACTCCCGTATCTTTGGGGCGAAGTAGGTGAACGGAGTATTATCGCCCGAGTTGATCCAACAAACAAGTAGAAGTTGTCGAGATTATCCGGGAAAGGCTAAAGACAGCACAAAGTCGCCAGAAGAGCTATGCCGATCGGAGAAGACGACCTTTGGAATTCCCAGTTGGAGATCATGTTTTCCTCAAGGTGTCGCCTATGAAAGGGTTATCACGATTCGGTAAGAAAGGAAAACTGAGTCCGAGGTTTGTGGGACCGTTCGAGATTTTGGAGAAGATTGGCGATATGGCATATAGGCTTGCCCTGCCACCTAACTTGTCCCAAGTACACAACGTTTTCCACGTGTCGATGTTGAGGAAGTACGAGCCAGATCCGACACACGTTCTAAGATATGAAGAAATAGACGTGGACGACAGGGTGTCGTACGTGGAGAGGCCAGTCAGAATTGAGGATCGGAAAGATCGAGTACTGCGGAATAAGACAATCCCGATGGTCAAGGTAGTTTGGGAGCACCACGGGACAGAAGGCGCTACTTGGGAAAGCGAGGAGGCCATGCGACGTCAACACCCCCAGTTGTTCGAGGAACAAGTTTAGAGTACAAATTTCGAGGACGAAATTTTTATAAGGGGGGAAGAGTTGTAACATCCTGAATTTTGACCTGTTATCGGGATCAATAAAGTGTATATTAATTCTCGTTTGATTTTAGTAAGTCTCGCCCGGACTTGATCAATCACGGGATACTAACCAAATGGGAAAGGCTAAATAGGATCAGGTACGTGGACCAAGGACCCGATCGCGATTGAGTGCCGAGTTCGAGAAACATCGAGGGAATATTTTGGACCAATATGGGCCGATCTTAGGAAAATGACGGATTGATATAGTCAGATACGTACGATCGGATCGCGGGTGATTCCGCACGACCGAAAGTACGCCTGACTAACGAACCCCGATTTTAATCCAAACGATCGCGACCCCCGGTACTAGTGATAATTCCTCTCGTTCTCTCGAAATTCGAGACCATCATGACTCAGACAATCCTAGGTCGATACGCGTACCACCTAAACAGCCGACCGTTAGTGAGAGGCCCTAAGACTTCGAAACGAGTTATTTTGATCGCAATATTGAGCCCAAACTTCGATATCAAAATTTCAAGGGTAATTACGACTATTTGGTAAGACGGACGTCATTTTATAGTGGCCAAATAAGTTTGGGACAAGAACAGCTGAATATAGAAATTTCCACAGAAATTGGGGAAAATTACAATTTTGCCCCTGGGGACCTCGATGCTCGTTTCCGAGGCCAAACGAAATTATTTTTCGGAATCGATGCCATTTTGGGGCAACCATGCACGTCTGGAGTGCATACGGTCAAAAATTGGAATTTCGACCCCGGAACGAAAAATTACGGTTTTACCCCTCGAGACTTTTGGACCGGTTTTCGAGGGCTTAAAGGATGAATTTTAAGGATCCGACACCGGATTATGTCTACCATGAATATATAGGACCGGTATGGACAAAAATTGAAATTTCGGTTCGGGATCGAAAAAATTACGAAAATGCCCCTAGGCCAATTTTAATTAATTCCGAAAATTGAATTTAATTAGGGGTTTAACCAAGGTTAAATGGGACTAACCAGGTCTGGTCAGCCTTGGGTTAGTGACAAATGACCATTTTACCCCTAAATTATTGGATGAGAAGGAAAGATAGCCATTGGATCAAGGGCAAAATTGTCCAATTGGCCTAGATTGAGACACATGGAATCCACTCACACTTGTTGACCCATATTTGACCAGACATTTCTCTCTCTCTCTCCCATTCTGTTCTGATCTGCCGAGCCATTCTCCTCCTCCCCTTCCCCGTGAATTTCTTTTCCCGTTTCTGTTTCTGGCGTGCACGGTTCTGTCCATTCTGGTACTGTTCACGCCGGAACAGTACCAGCCGGAGCTGTCCCCGCCAAGCCAGCACCACCAGCAGCCCTTTCTGCTCAAGACAAGCCACCACAGCCCCGGTTTCAGCCTAAACAGAACAGAAACAGCAGCTAATTGTCTTCGCCGGTGTCGCTGCGGACCGCCGGCTTGCACCGGAGCGCCGCCGTCGATCCTTACCGTTCGTCGGTGATCGACCGCCCGTTCCCGTCGTCCCGAATCGTTAATAGGCGAGTATAAACCCCTAAACCCCTAATTAGTCTAATTGTGCATTTTTAGGGGTTAATTAGGCCTAATTGAGGGTTAATTAGGCTTAATGGTGTGTGGGATGTTTTGTATGGGTCATTAGGACCTAATGAGATGATTTAATGGTGGTTTAATGGCCTAAATTGTGATCTGGTCTGGTACTGTTCATGAGTACCGAAAATGCTAAATTTTGTTCAAGTTTTGTACTAATTGAGTTCAATGGTTAATGACTTAAAATTAGGCATTTGGTAGACTAATTAAGCTTATTTGAGGCTTAATTATGTGTATTTGGTGGTTGGATGTTTAGGGTAGGTGATTAGGGCTTAATGAGATGGTTTAAAGGTGAATTAGTGCCTAAATGTGCATTTTTCCTGGTACTGTTCATGGGGCTCCGAAATTGTTTTAATTTGTCTAAGTTTGTACTAATTGGGTTCAATTGTTGGTGACCTTGAATTGGTCATTATAGGGCTTAATTAAGCTTAATTGAGGCTTGATTATGTGTATTTGATGTTTGGGTGATTATAGTATTTGATTGAGGCCTAATGGAATTGTTTAGGGGTAGTTTGGTGCAAAATGGACATTCGGTTCTGGTACTGTTCACCAGAACCGAATTGTACCATTGGGCTTAATTGGAGACTTAATTGGTTCTTTGGCTATTGACTTGAGTTTAGGCATTTTTAGGGGTTGAGTAGGACTTGTATGAATCCTATCGTATGACCCCGAAGTGGTGAAAACGAATATTGAGATTGAATTGCCCAAGGCGGGCCTTAGGCGCATTAGATTGAGGTGTGAAATGAATGCGCGGAATGAACTTGAAATGGATTGGATTAGAGTGGAAATGCTTGGGTATGCCAAGAATGAGATGAACATGTCTAATTTGAGCATGGTTATGCTTGGTGTTTTGGCATCGATATTTAACCTTAAATTCCCGAGCATATGTTTTGCATATCAAGTGGTGATTGGTTGAAATTGAGTGAAACGATGTACTTGCCTGAGTTATAATCAATTGTGGCCTTCGGGTCGGGCCTACGGGTCGTTTTATCAACTGTGGCCTTCGGGTCGGGCCTACGGGTCGTTATAATCAATTGTGGCCTTCGGGTCGGGCCTACGGGTCGATTTATCAACTGTTGGCCTTCGGGTCGGGCCTACGGGTCGTTTTATCAACTGTGGCCTTCGGGTCGGGCCTACGGGTCGTTATATCCAACTGTGGGCCTTCGGGTCGGTATAATTGCACTTGACTTATAGTGATGCCAAATGCCTAACCTGCAGGGCTATGAGACATTATATTGGGCTGTGAGCTCGGGTGAATTAATGTTGTATTACTGGTTCATATTTTGATGCGTTTTATTTACCTTCTGGAGGTGCACATTAGCCTAGTTTAGGATTAGTGGTTTGTACTTGCTGAGTTTTCTCACGGTTGTGGTAAAACCGACATTTTCAGACCCCCGTCCATAGAATGCCGAGGAGCAGGACCCCGAGCCCGAGATAGAGTTTGAGGCTATGAGTTCAGAGGAGGAACCAGAGCAGTCCGAGAATTCTTCCGAGACGTCTGGGTCTGACCCCAACTGGATATCCTAGGGCAGACCTCAGTTTTAGGGGCGAGGGCCGATACTTTTTGACTGTAGCCTCTAGTGGTTAATCGATCCCCCTAGGCCACCGATCCCTTTTTGTACTCGTAGCCCTTTTGTTGTAGCTCTGGTTTTAATGGATATTGTATATATAAGTGTTATAATGAATGTATATGTTGTTTTTAATCGTTTGAATTTTGTTGGCTTGTGCTACTCATGGTTGCTTTTAAATTGTCTGGGTGTATATATATAATATATATACGTCGTTTCCGCATGTGGCGTGTTTTCTCTGATTTGGGTTTTCGGGTCGGTGACGTAACCTGGGAGCGTCGCACCTTATTTCGACCTATACGCGGATGTTCATGCTTCGTGGGGTACGGGGCATGACACCTCAGGTGTACGATTTGGAAGTTTTCAAAGCATAGGACTGACAGTGTTGTGTTGTATTTGGTTCGTTCTGTTAAGCTCTTGGATTACCGAGTTTGGATCAATGCTACGTCTGGAATATGGTCATATTTGTTCGATACAAATTTCATCCTGCTGTTTCTACTTTGGGAATAAAATTAGTTCTTTAAGTTCACGAAGGACAGCAGATGTATACTGAAAATATTGGTTTGGGTTGATGTTTCCTTAAGTGTTCCTCTCACTTGATTTGTCGAAATAGCTTGCTAGAGACATAAGAAACTTGCCTCGTTGCTTGTAATTGAATGAGCTTGTGACCGCATTTTCAATCTAAAATCTTCTCTACTGGTAAATGCAGAACTTTGAGTGAGGTCCAAGGCTCATAAAGCTGTTTACAATCACTCTCTTGTGACGATGGTCGTGGAGTATGCATCTGTAGTAAGTGTTCTTTATAAAGATTTTCCCGTTTACTTAGAGCTTCTTGTTATTACCTTCAGATTTCACCAATTTCAATATAATAACATCGTAACAAGATGCGAAGCTTTTTATTTTGCAAGTTTACATGTCAGATTTGACAGAACTTTTTAGTTGGACATGTCCTGGTTGTGATGGAAAGACCAAGGTAATCTGACTGCATTTTAATATGACATTGTTGCTAAGGTTGCGTAAAGAATAGGTCCTCAGTACTAAATGGCCAATTCTTGAGATGAGATTTTGTGGGCATATGCTGCCTTCTCTTATTAGCTTTTAACTGGTTATTAATGCCTTTGGATTTGAAAGTAGGGGTTCTAATTCATTGATCTGATAGTTGACGTCCAGCACTGCTTATAGGTATGTAATTCATGTTGCAGTGGCCTACCAATTTGCGATGCCTGTGATGCCTCTATGTTTGAATTTCATCTAATTTTTTGTCCTTATTTCTAATCAATATATATTACCTATAGGCATCTATTGGCGTGGCCAGGACCTTAATGCTGCGGTTATAGCTTTCGAAGGTACTCAAGAACATAGGTATGCATGTTAACTTTAGCAATTATACCTCTTACATTTGACATGCGAAGGATTTGATGAAAATTTAAGCTAAGAAGAGTAGCCTCCGGTGACTGCGTACACAAAGCACATGGGTCTGCTGTCCATAAGAAGGGAAAACAGTGAATCATTTCCACTGAGACATGAAAGTTATGTGCTTGTAAATGTAGAAGGAGTCATGAGGAGATCACATACTTCACTAATTTTTGTTCTTGGAAAAGTTGTTTGAACTTTTCAGTTAGTGGTTACTTCTATTTATGTCTACAGCATACAGAACTGGGTCGAAGATTTCTACCGGAAACAGCTTGTCCTAAACTACCCCCGCATGCCTGTAGCCATGGTTCTAGAGATGATGAGCCTCTTGCAAGTTGTGGATACTTCTGATTTGGAATGAGTTACAGTCTTATTCTATTGTCTTTGCTTAGGTTCATCATGGATTTATTATGCTTGTCGCTATACGACAGTGCAACCTGGTACTTTGGATGCTGTTAGAAGAGCCAAGGATTTGACATCAACGTCATGGTGACAGGGCATTCTATGGGAGGGCCTATGGCATACTTTTGCGGACTTGATATCATGGTAAGATAGTTAAAAACTTGTTATGGGTTCAGATATTGGTTCTTCTCTATTGTGTTCTTCCATTTATTCAGTTTTGGTCCGTTAAGAGTTACCCGGAATTCTCTGCGAACTCTGCCTTGAAGAGTCTAGACTCTGGAGACTCTGGATATCTTGAACTTTCTATGGTTTCATATTTATATTTACAATTGGTCAGCATCTTGTTTTTTTTCTTTTTTGGTAAATCAACCCGTAGACAAAACACAAGCAGAATGGGTTGCAAACAACCCTTTACCTAAACCATCTATGGTCTACGTATTTAGTTGTGTGAATTGTCTTACATGTTAAGCCATGGAGCTTAAAGTTGGTTGAATACCTAAATATAGTGGATAAAGACTTCCAACTAATCATTACAAAGTTTACTTGCTGGAAACTTTATGGGATTATTGATTTGTTTATGGTCTCGATATATAACTTTTGCAAGCGCCCGAAGCTCAAATTTTATGTCATGTAATCTTGAATTGCTAATGCTTTTTAGACTAGAATATATTGATCCTAAATCTGTGTTCGTGGCATGTTTCGTCTGTCTCTTTCTAACCAAAAGAAGCAGCTCCTTTTCGATCGGGCTACTGGCCGATATGTTGTAGGCTGGAACCAATTCTAAATGTCTAACTTATGCTTTTTGTCTCAGCTTTATTGGACAAAGTGGTCCAGAGTTTTCTAGGCACCTGTTGTGGAATTGGTACCAGAAATGGTACCCACCCCAAAGTCATGTCCCATTAATTCTCTTCTCCATGACAAATAGTGATTTTTTAGGGTCAAACTTTGTCTTGAACTCAGATTATACAGACATTCACGTGGCCTATGATAGGATCATAGGTTGGATGAACTTTAGACTAAACCTTTTCTCGAAGTATTAATAGCAACTGCGACATCTTGTCTGAACACTTGGATGGTTTAAGATGTCATTTTTGTTTGCTGGTTTCTTGCTGAAAATTGTTCTGAGCCGATTGTGACGTCATGCCCATGGGTCGTGGCCCTTTCCATGCGTAGTGGCCCTTTTTAAGATTTTGTTTCTCCTTTACTATTAATGACCGTAAGTTTTGGGTTTCTAGAGGCAATTTCACCACGAACCTGGAATTTCTTGTTTATGTCAGTAGGATATGACTCACCCCACCAACATCCAAGTGCTTCTTGTGGAAGCATTTAAATGCGCCTTGGTTGAAAATACACGCCCAATACCACCATTCCATATTATTAACACCTTTTTTGGATGTGAGGGTGGTGGGGTGGGTTTTGTTGTGGCTGTGGGGTTTAGTTTTGGGAAAATTATGGATGGGATCTAGACAAATTAACACTAGACCTCCAACCCTCATGGAGAGAAAGGGTTGTTCTATCGTTCACCTTCGTATGTGAGATGCAATATATGGTTATTGATGCATAGTAGTTTTTCCCCACGTGAAAGTATTAACATTCAAGTAATTTGGCTGTCTAATTATGTGTGGTGGAGCTGTTTTTTCCAGACCAGTGCTCACTTGATTTACTTATATAACTAAGGACACTTAATTTCCAGGCAAATCATGAAGCACAGATTGTCCAGGTTTTTACATTTGGACAACCTAGTATTGGCAATGCAATGTTTGTTTCTTACTACTGCATGCCAAATACTATACAAATAACTAATGGACATATATTGTGCCTCATTTGCCTCCGTACTATTCTCAGTTCCCACAAAAGACATACCATCACTTCCCTAGGGTGGTATGACTTTGATCTTGACGGAATATCAGATAAATTATGGGGAATTGTCGTTGACTGCATTTGACATTTCCTTTGCATTTATTTCAACCTATCTAACCGGAGAAGTCTTATTTTTTCCAACAATGTTCATACTCTCGTTTTTTTCAGCATATAATTTTATAGGTTTTGTTTGTTTTATCTTCTCAACAAAGCAGGGCAGTTCATAGTACTCAGGACCTTTTTAACAATATTTAAGGAACTCTTCTCATTCCTATAAAGCTATCATGAGTTTCTCGTACCAATTCCAAATTTAAGACGCGTAATAATGTGTATTGCTCTCTCTCTCTCTCTCTCTCTCTCTCTCTCTCTCTCTCTCTATGATGGTTGATGACCTAGTCTTAAGCTCTGTGCAATTATAAAGTATTAATCATTTAAATTATGTATGTCTACTAATGCCTATAATATTGACAACTAGCTCAATGACAGTCACGGATAAACATATTGATGTGAGATAATGTGAAAATAATTTGATTCCACCTGCTTGTCTGGTGATAATCTTACTCTTTTTTATGTGAGTGTTCACATGTAATTGGAATCCTTCTTTTTTTGTAGGTACGGCTGTATAATATAGGATTTGTTTGTCTAGTTTATTAGGTCAAGAAAGTTTGTGATGGCTCTGGAGAAGATCCAATTTGCAGCAGGTAAGGAGGTAGCTTCAGTCATAGCTACCTGTTACAAGCAATTATTTTGTGGATTTATCATGCTAGGTGCAATAAGTCATGTGACAGATCGGCTTGTTCTAGAGAATGCCAGTCTTTTATTACCGGAAATATTTACGGATGACTTATCATAGTATGTTTCTGCATATTGGTAACTGGTAATAGCCTCACGGACCATTTACTCTACTATGGTGCAAAATTAATGGCGGAGACGTGGGGATCGTGCAAAATTGTCATGGACCCACGATTCAAGGAATATGGAAGCGAAGACAAAGGATACCTTATGCTTTCCAGGAATCCTTCTCCTTCTGCATTGAGGCTGCGTGAAGACTCCGATGCCAAGAGTAACTTAACGTAAAATGCTCCCAAGTCAGCACCTAATTTCGTGAAGATCATTAGGTAACTCTGGATGAAGTTTGTTCATGTAATGCATTCCATCAATCTGTTTCCATGTCCATCACAAGATGCATAGGATCTCTACTAAAATTCACTTGGAATGTAAATAGCATGAAGTTGAATGTATCATCCTTGTAAACACAACTTTGTGGTACATATTGAATGAATGCGCTCGCAAGTTTACCTGTCAATCTAATCTTGGGCCTGTGGCATTTTTTACTAGACTCAATAAAACCTAATTAGGATGTGTGGATGCTGAGCTGAGCTATCCACAGCTAAATCACGCCGCTCTTTTCTTTCCTTTTTTTTTCTTTTTTTGGGGGTCGAACTTGTGTTGAACTTCACAAAATTGGCAGAGCTTTGTGAATTCTGGGACTGTTAGACTTGCATGGTTCAGAGATTAACCGGTTTTATAAGGCGAAACAAAGACTGTCTAGGGAGAACACTTTTCAATCTGCGACCTTACCTTCTACTACTGGCTTAATGGCACATAAAAGATTCTCGGCGCAACCAAGTACTTCGACTGTTCCATGGCAGGACAGATAAATCAAGCCATCTCGGAAAAAAATGATCTTATCTAAAGTGTGCGTCATTTCAATTGACGACCTCCGCTGGATTTCAACCTTTAGGAGGTAAGCAATTTATATCATCTTTGTTTAGACATGTAAAAATGATCTGATCGGCCTTTGGAACGAAAGCTATAAGCTTTTACCTTCTATTTTTGATATGCCGGAATTAACATTAGTGAAAACCGGAAAACCGAAATTCCTTCATCATTTCAAAGCATAAATTGCCAATTGTGAAACATTCAAAGCACGTTGTGCAAGAGACCAGTTAAGTCCTTGACACTATATGATAAGCTATAGTTTGTACATTACAATAAAAGCTAAAGTACAGCACCAAAACGTTGAGAAAGATACGCTATCGTCAAATCTACGAGTTACCTGCGCTAGCCCCAGCTTACCTTTGCAATAAGAACCCGGAAGTTTTTCTTGCTTATTACCAAGAGAAAGAGCTCAGGCCGACATATAGGACTCTTTTGTCATTTAGCGATTCTCCTTACCAATGTTGAAACCTAAAGCTCCATACCTAGGTAACCGAAAATGAACAAAAGAGCTTTTATCACGGATTAAAACCTACACGTTTGACTATCCTTCATTGTTTAAGGTATAGCAAAGTTAAGTTTTACAAGGCATGGTTATTAAGTTCAAATTTAAAGTACAAACCAGCAAGTTCCAAGGACCTCACATAAATGACCCACGTGTAAATTGACAAAAGTAATGCACTTTAATGCAGTAACACTAGCATCAATTTGACTTGTCTTTTATTGGTTACTCAATTAGCCCACCAAAACCGTCAAAAAGTAATATATCTAAACCAAATCAAACTCATGAAATAGATCAAAAGAAACCACGGTCCCATTTCATGAGCAGTTTACAACGTCCATCTTAAAGGTAGAAAACGGCTGCACTATGCCTACAACAATAGATTTCATGTCAACTTGCCAAAGTGTGATTGTAATTTATGTATAACAGATAACGATCCCAGGAAAGACTACAGTGAATATCTCTTGAGATGACATAGGACAATAAGAAATTTGTTTAAGTTTCAAATCTTCCTTGACAACAGACTTAGCTTTGGATGCAGGACCTTTCAAGTACCACATGCACTTCTTATTGGAAAATGAACTCCTCTGCTGAGCATGTCTTCTAAATTTTTCAAGAAATGGCTGAATCTTCAAAGCAAGCCAGACATTGCATCAGTTGAACCTCTTCAAGTTGAAACGATCAGAGGCCTCACGCATGTTATCCCTTTCTGCGAAGTATTTCAACCCGATCAACTCACATTAAGGATGGCAGTGCCTTCAATCAACAAAAAGCACTGATATTCAATGACAAACAAAAAGCGCTGAGAATTTCGAGATCCTTCAACGCTTGATATTCAGCATTGAAGAATTCAGTAATGCCCGAACATCACAGATGTTACCCATGAGTGCATTCAAACGATTCTTCTGGTCAACATCATCAAAAAGGATGAGAATTCCTTCACAAAAAAGCCTATCTTTAATTGTCTTGATCCCTTCATCAACATTACTTATTTCTGTCAATTTCCTTTTGAGGATATTGGAGATGAGTTATTCTGCACGACTGAATGCCCTCGAGCTCTTAAGTTTCACGGATGTTAGAGAAAAAGCAATAGTGCTCAAAACCATGTGAAAGCTGATTGTAGATAAGTTCGGCGAGAGTCGTCTCTCCAACAAGGCCCATTCCATGAATTCCAACAATTCATGTTTCTTGTGTTGTGAGTGCCTATCATACTCATGACAAAGACTACCTTGAACACCATTTTCACATCGAGAGGTCCATGAACTGGTTTTGGCAAGAGCAACTAAGACTGCCTTGAGCACCACTCTAAGCACACAATTTTTCTCCCGGTCCAGACAATCCCTTCAAGTGTTTTCTCATAAAAGAACATCTGGGTACTGATAAGCAAGTTCTATTGCATAACAATGAAGAGAACACACATTTAGATGAAATGTAATAATCATTTTTTCAGCCCACAATAAAGGAAAAAAAATCAGGTTTGCCTAAATAGCTTTTTTACCCTCCAAAACAGATGAATACAGGGTTTACCACCCCAAGATTGTGAGAGGGAACATGATCAACATCAAATTTCATCCATCATCTGCCTTTCTTCGGTCTCCATCTATACAGCTAGGCTTCTATTACGAATAACCACCTAGGCATAACCATTTCAAGAAAATGGAGGCAATAATGGAGATCACACAAGGGTCGATTTTCATGATTTCAAACCCCAAGTGAGACTCCTCACATGTCCGATACACCGATAATACTGAAATTTAGCCTCAACTATAATATGATTTATGATACCTTGGCCAAGCTAAATAGTTCTCCTCTCCTGTCACAGATGGAAGCTTTGCTACACCAACTATTGATGCCGCTACCCAAGTGAAATTCCTCTTTCTTCATTTTATAACTTCTCCATAACATTTGCAAATCCCGCTAAGAAGCACACCTTTCCTGAAAAATAAATTGAACATAAGCATATCAATACAATGTCTTCTTCACAATAGCAACAATGAGTTAATTATGCTGTAATATTCCAGGATGAGAACCATAGTGCTATGACCTTCCAACACACATTACATCTAATTGTTTACAGTATAGCAAAGTTATCTCCAATGTGAAGCAGAGGGTATCACCTTCGAAATATGTGAAGCAGCAAATCGACAAGGATATCTAATGAATTGTCATAAATCAAATAATAACGATGCAATCCACATGCATACCTCCAGCTGGGAAACATAAAAGCAAGGAGAAACCATCCACAGAGAATATAGCTAAAAAAGCGAAACCAAACTAGGAAAAAAAAACATATATTTGTACATAATTAAGAACCCTCTGGTTATACGGAGATACCATAATTTCAATACCTTCTTCAGATTTCCAGGCATCAACTCATAAAGTAAATAAAAAGAGGACATAAAACTTCACTTTGGATGTCATTTTCATTTTCCTTTATTCGGTCTTCATTTGTACAGCTGCCCAATTAGCCACAGCTCCTTGCGCAATAAGATTTCTGTGAGTTTTTCAAACTTTAATTCCTCTCAACATCATTAGAAATTGGCAAAAAGGCAGTTTGAGATCTCTCACTTAGCACTTCTTGTCAATCTTAAAACCTAAAAGAATCCTCTAGTATAACCGAGGTGAATGGAAGGGCTTTTATGATAGATAATCACCGAGGCATAACCATTTCTAGAAAATGTAGGCAACAATCGAGATCACACAAGAGTTTCATTTACATGATTTCCAACCCCAAGTTAGACTTATCATATGTCCTGGGCAGTAGGTAACGATATTACTGAAATTTAGCCTTAACTGTAAGACGATTTATGATACCTTGGAGGTGGAAGTTTTGCTGCACCAACTATTGATCCGCTACCCAAGTAAAATTCCTCTTTCTTCATTTTATGACTTCTCCATAATATTTGCAAATCCCACTAAGAAGCACATCTTTCCTGGAAAATAAACTGAACATAAGCATATCAATACAGAGTGTCTGTCCTCTTCACGGTATGCTGTAAAGTTTCAGGATGAGAACCATAGTTATTATATGACCTTCTGACACATATTCCATCTAATTGTTTACAGTACAAGGAAGTTATCTCCAATGCGAAGCAAGGTTATCAACTTCGAAATAAGTGAAGCAACAAATCGACAAGGATATCTAATAATTTGTTACAAACCAAACCAAATAAAAACGATGCGATCGACCTGCATACCTCCAATTGGGAAACATAAAACCAAGCAGAAACCATCCAAAGAGAATGTGGCGAAAAAAGCCAAACCAAACTAGTAGAAGGGAACGAATGTCTGTACATAATTAAGAACCCTCTGGTTGTCCGGAGGTATCATAATTCCAATACCTTCATCAGATTTTTAGTCATCAACTCGTGAAAAGGTAATTAAAAAGTGCATGTGAAACTTCTCTGTTCATATCCGTGAAAGAGTTTGATTGCAAAAAAGGGAAAACATTGGTTGTCAGATGAAATAACTTACCTCAATTCGTTTAAAGTTTGCACACAAGGGAACAATTTGTGGTCGGCGATCAAGAAGCTTTCAAGAGCAACGTGCACTTATCCGTCAGTCTTCTCCCTCAAATCCATATTCAAATTCGTATCCAGATTCGTCATCTTGTACCTCTGATTCGTCTCTGTCTCCCTCAAATCTGACTGCCTTCTCCGAGCAAAGCAAAGAAATTGCCTCCACATTTAATTTCCCGCAACTCTTTATATCAACAGATCGCAGTCCCTTCAAGCTTGATAGATCAGGCAACTTCTGTAAAGATCCACATCCAAAAATACTCAATTCTTCCAAACATTGTGGTAGTTCGCCTTGAATCTCAACCAGATTACTGCAGAAGGACACATGAAGACACCGTAGTTGGTTGAGATTACTTAGATCAGGTAATATCCACACCTGTTGAAGTTCCAAAAGCTGCAAATCTGGGTTCTCCGAACCATCAAGGCCTCGAATCTCTGAGATTACACAGTTAGTAATCCAAAGATCTGATAGGTTCGTCAAATTCGATAGATCCCCGGGGAAAACAAGTGACTTGCAACCATCCAAACTCAATAATGATAAACTGGAGGGAAGGCTCGGGAGGCAACGCAGATTATGGCAGAAGAGTTTAAGTGTTTGGAGTCGGGGAAGGAGACTCCTACAATCTGTGGGTAAGGCGGTCATGTGTTTAGAGCCCAAACCCAAGGATAATAAACTGGAGGGAAGGCTCGGGAGGCAACGTAGATTAGGGCACCGGAGTTCAAGTTTTTGGAGTCGTGGAAGGAGACCGATATCTATGGGTAAGGCGGTCATGTGTTTAGACTCCAAATCCAAGGATAATAAACTGGAGGGAAGGCTCGGGAGGCAACGCAGATTAGGGCACCAGAGATCAAGTCTTTGGGGTCGAGGAAGGAGACTACTAATATCCGTGGGTAAGTGGGTCACACGATAAGAGTATAGGTCCAGAGTCTCCAGTTTGCTTAAATTCCCAATCCCCCCTGGCATCGGATATTCTTGCACAGGCCCATCAGATTCCCAACCAGCATCATGTTCGCTAAGCGACAGCTTCAATTCCTTTAAATTAGTCAGGTTTGAGAGATCTGGAAACGTATCCATATGCAAGTCATGCAACTCTAGAATGATAAGACTTTCAGGAAGCCTCGGTACCACGTATATTGCAGCATTCCACAATTTCAAGATCCTTAGGGATCGATTTCTATAGATGCAATTGCCAATTTCCACTTCCACATTGAAATCGTCTGTAAATTGGACATCTATTTCTTCGAGCTTCTCAATTGTCCAGAAGGCATCGGGTATTTTACTTGTGTCATTTAAATCCATCTTCGCTACTTTCAAATTTTTCAACTTTCCGATGGAATCGGGTAGTTCTTTGATCTCCGTTTGGGTTATATCCAGCTCAATCAATGATTCCAAATTTCCGATGGAATCGGGTAGTTCTTTGATCCCCGTTTCGGATATATCTAGCTCAATCAATGATTCCAAATTTCCGATGGAATCGGGCAATTCTTTGATCCCTGTTTGGGATATATCCAGCTCAATCAGCGATTCTAAATTTCCGATTGTATCCGGAAGCCTCTCGAACGATATGCAACATTGCAGAGATAGGTATTCAAGGCTCGCAAGATCTCTACCTAGCTCGTCTGGCAGCCTCCGAAGATTGTTACAAGAGCTTACATCTAAGGAAACTAGGCTTTTCAAATGACAAATCGACCTATCAATATCAGTTAATGATTCACAGCCCTTTAGGATCAATCGTTCTAAATTTACCTCAGCAGAGAAGATGGGAGTTCTCTCCAAGCAATCGCATCCGGTCAAATTCAAAATTTTCAAATTCTTCATCACCTGTGAAAAGAAAAATCATGCAAAGATTATTTTTGAATCTCATAAGACGGAATAATAAGTGTTGTCTAGCATATAACATACCTCCATATGGCTCCACCCCTTCCAATCATCCGTAATTTCACTGTTAGATAGATCAAGAATAACCACATTCTCCATGGAGAAATTTGCAATGTTAAATGTTGGGGGAATACCGTGCCAAGAAAGCCATCGTAAATGCGGAAGGAGATACGAATTCTCCCGAAAAACATTAGCCGGAAGAACATTTGATGGTGATTCGTGCCAAAGAAGCCTCTCTTCAACACAAAAATGTTCCTCCAAACCGTTAACTCGAAGAAACCCCACATTTGATATTCTCTTAAAATCTTTACGAGTAAAACGGTACTGCAGCTCATGGTCAAAGTGTAGATGAAGAGCTTCAACTTTTGTTTTTCCCTGCCCAATGGTAAAATTTAGAAACAAAAGAGTTGAAGCGAAACACATTTATTCAAGTTCACTATTTTAACGGGTTGAGTTGGAGTACTATCGTTACTTTAATCTTGACAGAGCAAAAATATTGGTTTGAGTAGGTCACAGTAGTGCTAGAGAACACAAAAAAGTAACTTGATTTTTTTTTAAAAGGAAAATGTCCACAAGTAACATGGAGATTCATCGCACGGGGGATTTTACCTTACGTCTCCTCAGCAAATCCAATGCTTCCTTGGGATCCCATACCCTCCTTTGCTTCTCTATTTTCATCTTACTTTCTTGACGAGCCATTTCTCTTCCGAAATCTCTGAGTTGGTCATGCATCAACACTTTATTATACTCTCCAATCTTTATCAAAGACATGTTCTGCAGAACTTCCATATCTACTTTTGGAAAAAATTTAGATTTTTCCCAGAAATGGACCACAATGTCTTTGTCATGTCCAATGAAAAAACAAGCTATATCGAGGAATATATGTTGTTGTCGAAGTTCTAATGCATCATAACTTATTTTTAGCTTACTCTGAACATCCACATGAGGAACCTTTTCCAACTTCTCCAATATGTCATCCCAGCTTTTCTTTTCAGTGCCAGATAAAAGTGAACCTATGACCTCAAGAGCTAGCGGAAGACCTCTAGCAATGCCTATTGCCCTCTTGGATTGGTCAATATACTCAATCAAAGGAGATTCTCTTCTGAAAGCATGTTTGCTAAAGAGTTGAAGAGATTGACAGTCATCCATGCCATTAACCTCATAAGTGCAGTCCACTTCCGGAACAATGAGAACATCTTTCTTTCTTGTAGTAATAATGAGTTTGCTCCCTTCACCAAACCAATCACCATTTCCTACAAGTGCATCCATATGATCCTTTTCTGCCACATCATCGAGAAGAAGGAGGACTCTTTTATTAGACAACCTATCTTTAATGGTCTTAATCCCTTCATCAATATTTCTTATATCCATGCATTTCGTGTTGAGGATGTCAGAGATGAGCTGATGCTGCAAGCGGTGAATGCCCTCGAGTTTTGAGGTTTCACGGACGTTAGAAAGGAAGCAACAACCATCGAAATTTTTTTTTTTTTTTTGGGTTTTTTGGGTAAAGCCCTCGAAATTTTTTTTAAGCTTATTGTAGATGATTTTGGCAATAGTCGTCTTTCCGATGCCACCCATCCCGTGGATTCCTATAATCCGTGTTTCACTTGTCTCAGCACCTATCTTTTCCATGATTGCGTCCACATGGTTGTCGACACGGACCAAGTAGTCTGATACCGCTAGATAACCCTTTTTCAACTCGCTGAAAACCTTATGGGTAAGTTCTTTTGCGAACTCTCCTTCTCGCCTAGTGTTTGTTGGAGGCAAAAGACAATGAGTTAGAAAATTGTGTTGAATTAACTATGTTCTGACAAGACCAAATTAAATTCGGAATGTGTTCTTCAAGGATTTATTCCATTGTAGATGAATTAGCGTTGGTACTTACAGTTAATGAATGAACTAAACTGGAAAAAAAATGATGCTTGGAATAAAATGGGACAAAATTGGGATTGTGCCATTACTTAGCGAGATTTCAGCAGTGTAACTTCAATAACTCAGAATTCAATTTAAACAGGGCTAACAAAAATCTAGAAAAGAAACCTGAAACACATCAAGTTTTAATGGTACAAGGTACATGAGATGGAATGCTTAAAGCAATCACCTGTTCTCCTTCTTGCTATGCAGGTCCCATCCGTTTATTGCTCCCACTGCACTGAGAGCATCCTTCCACCCTTGAATAGTCTTTTCGTCGTGTCGCTTCTTGTTTTCATGTGCAAGAAAGGCCTGTGCATAACCCTCTGTTTGGTGCCGAACCTCTGAAGGTGCCACATCATAAAAAATAGGGATGATCTTCTGTCTTCCAGTTTTCTGGCACTCGACCATCTGGACTAACTCCTTGAGACACCATACGCTAGAGGCATAGCCTTTCGAAAAGATAGGTATTGAGATCTTCGACTGATTAATTGCTTGGAGAAGTTCCGGGGCAAACTCTTCCCCAACGCCGAGCTCTTCGTCGTCCTTAAACGTGCGGATTCCCGCATCTTTAAGACTAATGTAAAGGAAGTCGGTAAAACCTGCTCGAGTATCTGATCCATTGAAGCTTAAGAATACTTCATAGTCATATCCTGATGAAGTAGCCATTCCTTGACCTTCTGTTGAAGTGTGAGTAGAAGAAGCGCCTCCTGCTGTTGCATCATTTTCACAGATGCGTCTTTTTTTTGCCCTCCCCTCCATTTGATCTCACTTGATCTTCTCTTCAAGGAACAAAAATTGAAAAGTATAGCAGCAAAAGCAGTGGCAGCTAGAGATGGAAAATGTTTAGAAGCCAGAACTAACAAACGGAGATCTCGGTGGGTCATTAAACGTGGAAGACAGGGTTGGCTCAATATGCAGAGAGTCAGGGTCTCCAGTTTGCTACAGTTGGTCAATAAGAACGTTTCATTACAGCCTGTCAAAGTTGACGAATGCAGGTTTTTTCAAAACCAAAGTGGTCCCTCCCAACTCAATTCTTCTCTTTTATCTTCACCGTCATAACGCAATTGAAAAAAACAGGAAGATACAATTGCGGAGTAAATAAACTAGTGGAATTCTAAAAAGATGGGAGCAATCGAGTACTTTCGGTTATGATGCTCTTCAATTTTAATAATCTTAGTCTTTGTGGAGTTTCTGACAACACCGCGTTGTGATGAATGGCCCGCGCACTCGCCCGTGGCGCGTTTTCGCTGGTACATAATTGTAGGGTCACTTTCGTGGTTTGGGTGTTGAGTCGGGGCTATTTTGGGGAAAACAGCCCCCCCGTCTGGTCATACGAGTTGTTGTTCCTGTGCCTGATCGCGGAGATTTTCTTTGACGTTTTTGTTCTCCCACACGCGCAGATAAATGAATTATTGGTGTGATTCCTTTTTGTTTTGGTCGATGTGTGATTCCTTCTTGAGAAATCTGGTTCACGGACTGTTCGTAGTCCAAGTCTTCGAATACTTTGACTTTGCCCTTCTAGTTCCGTGACACACATCTCCTCCCCCCCCCCCCCCCCCGCGCTGTTCTTTTATTTTATTTTTTCTTTGGAGAGTGATAGCTATTGCAATTTTTAATCTAATGATTGTATTTCGATGCAAGGCAAAACTATATGTATATGGCAATTTCGTAATTTCCATTTAGTTAAATTAGACAGTATCAACTTTTCTGATGATTGATGACACGATTAGTTAGTCTATTTAAAGATCAAAGTTTCTCTGAAGATATGGTGTTTATTTTGTAAGTATTTTTCAAGTTTCTACATTAATTTTGTGGTAACTGAACATTTCGTGTTTCCCCATAGAAAATAGCCACTTCGCAACTCAAGTTTCACGATACTGACTCAATGACAACCAACATAAGCAGTAGCTACCAAAACTATCTTCTATCAACCATTCTTTAGCCAACCAAAGTCACCCGTAAAGAATTGGTACGTACAATATCATAAGCTTTTCAGAGTCCGGATTATGATCAATCCAATGATGAATAAACCAAGTATCGCTTCCCCTCCATTGATCTCACTTGATCTTTTCTTCGAGAAATGGTTCAGAGATGAAAAAAATTCAGAAGCCCTACTTATCAAATGCTACCAGCCAAAAAAGAGAAAATCGTTTATCGAATGGTGGCCACCTATCAATCAACTATCAAAGTAATAAACCCACCGAAGACCTCAACCGTCGTTCACGACGAAACTGGTTTGCGAGAATCCAAGGAAAACCTGGTTAAAAGCAAAAAGTGATAATGAAAAGACATAAAGCAATACGGCAAAGAAAAAGAAGATGGGTCATCCTAACGCGGAAAAGAAGACCCTGCCAATGCTTTAGCGTGCCTTTTTGTTGTCGGCAAGATTTTTTCCCTTACCGAGAGGAATTTATTTTCATAGTTATATTCACGAAAAATTGTCATTGAGATCCTGTTTTACCATCTTCTTTATTTAACTTAGGGTCAGTTTGTTTGATAAAAAATCATTTTTGAGAAAAAAATTTCCATACTTTTCCGGTATTTGAATTACGTGAAATTATTTGATCAATATAAAATGTTTACCATGGACTAAAAATAATAAGCTTAGAGAATAATGATTTGGTAAAAAGGAATCGTTTTTCCTGATCTCTTGCTGTGTTGAAGTGAGAAGAATATACTTCATCAGTGCTAAATTTTCTTACATTCCCAAAAACAAGATCATATATAATACTTTACAAATATGGTTTCATAATTTTTATCCTAATTTCTTTGTAATCATTGTTATTTTGATGGGATTACAAAATACACAAAGACGATATCGATTCGAGCTTATTAGTCATTATATGTTACTTTTAACGATACAAGCCGCCTTTAATGGATTTCACTTATTACCAATTACGATAAAATCAATTTTTTCAACTTGTTTTCACCATAATCAATTTTTTTAGTTTAATTTCTCTGAAATTAAATTTCCTAAAAAAATTTTCCTATGACAAGAAAATCCTCACCGAGATAAACACACTCTAAAAGTTTGTTTTTATGTGATTTTCAATTTTCATATGATGATATTTGATCGGAGGGAATCGCAAGATGAATCATTGGTGTGATTCCTTCTCGAGCAAGTTGGTTCATGGACTGTTCGTAGTCCGAGTCTTCATAGACTTTTGACTTTGCCCTTCGAGACCCGTGATGTTTCAGTCTTCTTGCACCAACCGTATGCTGTTCTGTCTTTTTTTCTTCTCTCTTTCTGAGAGTGGTAGCTAATGTTAATACTACGTTAAAACGAGGCATAGGGAGCTTAGGTTTTAGATTGTTGGCGTCCGCATCAAAATCAAATCGACCAATCTCATGCAACTATTAATCTAATGATTACATTTCGAATCAATACCAAACTATATGTACATGACACATTCCATTTTCATTTAGTTAAATTAGACAGTATCAATTTTTTTATTTGATTGATGCCATGATTGGCCAGATTATTTAGAAAATAAAGTTTTTGCTTGCGAGTATTTTTCTAAGTTTCTAAATCAATTTCGCTGTAACTAAACATTTCATGTTTCACGATAGATAATAAAATCTCGTTAGATCCGGAGGTGTAAAAATGTTCCATTCCTGAATTCACAAGTTCTTAAGTCTTTTTAGACATAAATCCTAGTGTGACCAACAAAAAATTTAAGATTGAAGATATTAAATCACGATGACTCGATGAGTCAAAAAAACCTCTTGGGAAGTATCAAATTCCCTGAATTGAGACCAATGGAAAATTAAATTTGTTCTCTGATAGCTTTAGCTTTGATTATACTCCACCAAGCTTTTGGTTTACTAATCGAAAGTTTAGAAGTCTCATTGCAGATTTTTTTAAATCTGACTCCTTTCGTTCGAATCGAAATCGAGCTTCCTCCATTAGCTCAAAAGCTCGGGGAAGAAGAGAAAATAGGTGGGATCCCACTGCCTGACTCCTACTCTTATCAAAGGAAAAGAAAGACTTTTTGTATAGATGCATGGGGGCCTTAAGTATCAAGACCCTTTGTTCCTCCTTCACCACAGAACATTAAGAAACTAATAAGAGGAAGATTTTTTTGAATGACTTTTTGGTTGGTCATTGAACTTGGAGAAGCCAAAGGATTGGGTGAATATGGAGAGAGAGCCGTGGGCCAGTTTTGCTGCAAAATTGGTCAATAAGGATGCTTCCTTGAAGCATCGCTCCCAGCCTGTCAAAATTTGATAATTATTTGCGTTCCTTAACGCAGCAAAATTACTGGACGTGTGGTGCAGATATTTTGGGGATTACAATCAACTTTTGTCACCCAAACAAATAAATGGGCGGATTCATTCAAAGTCGAAGTCAACAAAAGCAGACATCAAACTTCCAACCAAGTTCGTTTGCCCCCATCCTAATCAAGGTGAACTCCGGTCGGTCTAGTTTGATGGGCTGATCAGGCTAAGAAAAAAAACCAAGAAATAAAAGACAAGTGTTGTGATGGCATACGTTAGACAAGGGGCTAAGGTAGAAACTCTGAAATTATCTACTAAACTTATTTGTCAAATCTGCGATATAGATATCTTGCTGCAATATAAAATCGAAAGGTCAAGACTTTTTTCAAAGAAAATTAAGATTCCATGTCAACTTAATACAAAACTGAAAATTTATGTTCTCCCTGATAAAGTAGAAAGTTAAGGACATTTTTAATAGCAATTTGGAACGCTCAAGATTCTCTAGATCTGGAAAATTCAGTTTTTCCAAAAATGACTTTTTTATAAAAGAAAATGAGAACCGTTTGTATTTTCACACTTGTATAGTATCTATTTTCATGAATCCATTCATTCACTTGCTAAGATGATTTGATCAATATCACTTAATATATCAATTTTAGTATACTTATTAACATTACTTGTAAATAACCCGGATTTATTTTGTTAAACTTCAAATGACGAAAGGCCCCTGCTTATTGAGTAAAAGTGCACATCTTTTTTAACAACATTGATGAAAAAAAAACCACATACTGCTAGCAATTGTAATTAAATTGCCATTAAGTAAAACCCGTCATGTGAAACGGCGAACGTGTGTTATTTTACAAATTATCATTGAAAATCTCCAGAAATTATTGAATTTGTGCTATGGAATCATTCATCAGATGCTGCCGGCCAAAAAAAGGAAATCATCTAATCAAATGGGGGCCGCCTATCAATTAACTATCGAAGTAATTAACCCGCCAGGAACCTCAACCGTCATTCACGGCGAAATGGTCCGAGAGAATCTGAGGAAAATCTCAATAAAAGAGTAAAGTGATAATAATGAAAAGATATAAAGCAATAAAGCAAAGCAAAGGAAGATGGGTCATGCTAGTGTGGAAAAAGAAAACCCACCAACGCTTTTTAGCGTGCGCCTCTTTCGGCAGGACTTTAGTCAAAAGTAGCCCGCAAGGCAAAAGAAGAAGAAGAAGAAGAAGAAAAACAACAACATGAGGATGCATTTCGGTGGCAAGAAATCATTCACTATTGCTCCTTCCTGTTTTGCCCCTTCTTGTCCCGAGGAATTCCTTTTCATAGTTATATTCACGAGAAATCATCCTTGAGATCTTGTTTTACCATCTTCACTTTTGTTCTGACTTTAGTCGTGGGGGCTTGGATATCCGGAAGAAAGTAACAATTCTTGTAATCGCACGAAAGCTGATAGTAAATGATTTTGGCAATAGTCATTTTTTCGATGCCACCCGTCCCATAGGTTCCGATGATTCGTGTTTCACTTGATTGAGCACCTATTATTTTCATGAATTTATCTCCTGGTGATCGACACTGACCAAGCAGTCCAGTTAGCCTTTTTCAACTTAACTTTTAAGAAAAGTGGAATGGAATATATTCTTGCTTTGCTTTTGTCCTTTTTCGCTACGCGCTCGAGACCTTAACATTTGTCCACCTTCTTTTTAGCATTTCACTTTTTCTCTTCTGCTTTTCGGGACAAGATAGAATATGAAGGGATATGATTGTTCACTTTGAATCTCTTTATTGGCATCAATTATGTGGTCTATCGTCATACAAATCTGACATTTATCAATGACTTCTTTTTTCTTTTTTTTTGGATCTGGATTTATCAACGACGTTAGCTTGCAAACACTTGCACAATTTTGTTCCAAAGGGTAATACTTTCCAAAAAAAAGAAAAAAAAAAGATGGAATT